TTCCTGCTGAAAGGGGCAACATCAAACTAGAAAAGCTTTTAAAAACCTTTTCTTTTTTGATACTAGAAATTAAGCCCAGTGGCACTCTACCACTGAACTACATCTCCAGCCTATTTAATTCTGAGACAGGTCTCAGTAAGTTGAATAGGCAGGCCCTGAACTTGAGATCCTCCTGTCTCAGCCTCTTGAGTCACTGGGATTATAGGCATGTGCACAGCTAAAAAACATTTTTATTAAAGTCAAGAGTAAGACAAAGATGCCTGCAGTCATTGCTACTATTCTACAAAGTAATAATTGTTTTTAATGGTCATAAGAAAATGAAAATAAGGAGCATAAGAAGAGACCAGGTTTAAAGTTTTTGCATATGATATTATTATTTACATAGAAAATTCAAGAGCATCTACTGAAAAGCTTATGTATAAAACAACATTCAGCAGTATTGGTGGTGATATGATTAAAAAAATAAAAGCCAATAAATGTCCCATAGGTCTACAATATCAAATTGAAAATAAAATAGAAAAAAAAAAGATAATTTAAAATAGCAATGAAGCCAGGTGCAGTGGTACATGCCTATAATCCCAGTGGCTTGGGAGGTAGAGGCAGGAGGATCACTGAGTTCAAAGCCGGTCTCAGCAAAAGTGAGGCGCTAAGCAACTCAGTGAGACCCTGTGAGACCCCTGTCTCTAAATAAAATACAAAATAGGACTGGACTAAAAATAAATATTAAAAAATTTTTAAAAAGGGGGTGCTGGGGATGTGGCTCAATCGGTAGCGCAATCGCCTGGCATGATTGCGGTCGGGGTTCGATCCTCAGCACCACATACAAACAAAGATGGTGTGTCCACCGGAAACTAAAAAATAAATACTTAAAAATAAAAAAAAAATAGGGCTGTGGAGTAGTTCTGTGTCACTGAGTTCAATTCTCAGTACTTCCCCCAAAAAATCTTTTTTAAAAGGATGGAGCAATATATCATGTTCCTATCTGGGAAGAATTCACACTAAAAAGGTGTCAAAGCAATCAATCCAAAATAATAAGGTTCTTTTTATGAATTAGACACATTGAGAGACAAACAATACTGAAAAAGATAAGGTGAGCTTACCCTGTTAGATATTGCATCTAACTATGAGGTTTACCTGTAGATGGACCCTGTAATCCATCATTTCCTCTTGTATATATATATAGCCTACTGCCTCTACTGTTTATAAATTCATAAATTTATAGTCAATGTATATAAAACATGGGCTCAGCAGATATGATCAATCAAATTGATCATTATGATTGTTTCGAGAGAGAAGAATAGGGGCTAGGGACATAGCTCAAGCATAGAGTGCCTAGAATGTACAAAGAGGCCCTGGCTCTATCCCCAGCACTGCAAAAAAACCAAAACCCCCATCCCCCCAAAAAAAGCAACCAACCAAACAAACAAACAAACGAGAAAATAGAAAAATGGGATTAAGAACAAGGGAATTTCAACTTTTGGGGGAATGTTTTATTTTTAAAATATATTTGATGGTAGTAATTGTTCTGTGGTTGTTACTGCATATTTAAACTTGTCAACATAAAAAGCTAGTTGGTTAATTCTCAATATAGAACCAAAAAAAACCCATGTTTATATTCCATCATTTGCTGGGAATTTGCTTTTTAATAGGCACTACTTAGTTCCAGATGTTAGGAAAATGTGGAATTTGAACTACTTCTGTAATTTTAGATGGTCTCATAAATATTGCAAAACTCTCAGCATTCTGAGAAATCTTGTTTGTCACCATGCTTTAAAGATTAGTCAGCTGTCATTAATAAATACAGGTATAAAGTCCAGGATAAGTCTATAGTGCAGAAAGTTGTAGAATTTATATCCTGGAGACTATAAAGACATTCAAGTTATTTCCATCTTTTGGCAGGAAGATGGGTCTCAAAAGCAGCGCTACTAAAATAAATCTAAGTTTGCCTCCAGAAGAGCCTCAGGTGTGCGCAATGAAGGGGAAAAAATACAGGATAATCACAGAATGCAGGAACACAGCAGCAGCTGGGCTACATTTCTGTTATTAATGTTAAATTACAAGCAGTGGAAATTGCTTTTTCTATTAGATACAGTTTGCTTTCTCATTCCTTATTTTCTTTAATTCCTAAAGTATTCAATATCATCACTTGATTCTGGTTTTTAGACAACACTACATGGCCTTGAGGTGGTTGACTTTCTGGTGGTTCCTCTGATTCCTTTGCTGATCCAAGCTCTGCCTCCAGCCTGAGCTTCATAACCATGTTCTCTATCTCAATTTCTCTGTTGGTGCATCACCTAAAATTCAACAATCACACAACTTTTTATTCCTGCACTCTTATTCTGCTAGGTTCCATGCCATCAAGGAGTATGATTGCTGTTCCCCTCTTTGGGCCTATGGTAGTGCTTGGTAGTGAAATGGAGTTAAAAATTCCCTTCTAGTCATTAAAACCTCAATAATCTGAGTCTCTGGAATAAACAGACAGTAGGTCGGTTGCCAGGAAAAAATGTGTACTACTTATTACATGCATGTGCATGGGAGCCTCATGAAATATAAGACTCAAAGAAAGATCAAATGATTGAAGCTTATAAAATATCCTGAGCTTCAGAGAGGAATAGATGCTTGGTAATTCTGGGAACATATAGATACAGTTTATGGGAGGGTGAGGGGAAGAATGTACAATGAATAAAATGTTGTTGTATCATGCAGATAAAGATGACTCTCTGGTAATCTCAGAACTGCATTCAAAAGAATAGGTGACAGACTGTAGAAATCTCCATCTGGGCAGGGTTTTGGATCTCTAGTCTCTTATCCTGTGAAATGAGCTTCCTTGGGTCACTTTTAGGCAGATAAGGAGGTCTCCGAGAATGCCACTGTTTGCCACAAACTGTATACTTTATTCATGTAGATAGGCGTAATTTTTTTTCCCAAAGGAACAACTTTGCAGAATTATTCCTGTATCTGCCCTTCCTCTAAAATCCATCTCAAAATATGCCAAAGAAGTATAATGGGGAGTGGCATATTTTCAATTCCCATAGTACACATGGTAAATGTTGACTACCAAGTCCTTGAAAGATTAAACCCTTATTTCGTCTTTCTCTAACACCTTAAATCTTACCATTTTATTCACTTCTGCCTCCTCTTTCCTGGTTCTATTAGAAAAAAGACAGATTCTATAATTTCTGCCCTTAGTTTCTGCTCTAATAATTCTGCCAAGAGAATTTTTTGAAAACGGGGCCAGAGAAGGGGGAAAAGTTAGCCCAGAAAGAGGCTGGCCTGGTTTAAATCTGCTCTAAGTGATCCTGTTAAGACAGTTTGAAACAAATCACCTGCTTATATGCTATCAAACTCTGCACAATATTTGGTTCAAAGCCCAGATTCTCTTGCCTGACGTTTAAGGAGACTCAAGATTCTTAGGACTTTTTTTTTACTCATATGCAAGTCAAATTGATCTGTTTATTGTCTCTCAAACAGTCTTCTTGTATCTTTGCTTCCAGCTTTTTTTGATAAAATTTTTCTTGTGCCCTGGAATATTCTGCTCCATTTTTTAAGTCTTTCTTTAAGGCATAAAATATGTGTGGATGGTCACTGAGGTCTTTGTAAACTGCCCCCAGCATTTTCTAAGAATTTTGCCTTTCAACTATGTTTGTGGTGCTAGGGACCAAATGAAGATAAACCCTTGTCACACAAGACAAAGTGCTCTACCACTAAACTACATCCCTAGCCTTGACTTTGAACTCTTATGGCTATGCATACTAGTTCATTCACTTGGTACTTAATATGATCACTTATCTTCTTATGCTTATATATTTTCTCCCCTGCATGAGGTTTTCTTTCACCAGAGTCAAGCATTGGGTCTCTTAAACAGAAATCTCAATATAGTTGATCTGATAAAGATGTCTGTTTTGTTTGTTTTGGTACTGGGGATTGAACCTAGGGACACTCAACCACTAAGCCACATTCCCATCTCTTTTTTGTATTTTATTTAGACACAGAGCCTCATTAACTTTCTGAGGCTGGCTTTGAACCTGAGATGCTCCTGTCTCAGTCTCCTGACCTGCTGGGATTACAGGGATTACAGGCATGTGCCACCTCGCCCAATAAAAGATGGTATCTTTATAAGCCACACTAAACCTCTGAAGTTAATAATGTGGTCAATTAAATTGAGTGATGACTTGGCTGTTCAGGAAAAAAATTCTGACTAAGTTTAATTACAAAGCTGGAAGGAGATAGAAAGGAGGAGATGGAGGAAGTTTAATCAGAAAAATGTTACAGACCCTGAAGACCATTTTACATTCTTTCTCTCTGTTTTCTTCTGAGATGGGATGTCTTTATGTTGCCCAGACTAGTCTTGAACTAGGCACAAGCAATCCTCCCTCATCAGCCTCCCAGTGAGATGCTGCACATGCCACTTTGCTGGATTTAAGTTTTTGACTTTGAGATTTTTTTTTTTAATTGCTGGCGATTGAACCCACATGCTAAGCACATGTTCTACCACTGAACTGCACCCCCAGCTCTCCATTCTTTAGTGTGCATTAAAACCTTAACTCAGCTGGGTGGGATGGCTTATGCCTATAGTTTCAGCAACTCAGGAGGCTAAGACAGGAGGGCTGCTTAAAGCATGAGTTGGAGACAGGCCTAAGCAATATACTAAGACTCCATCTCAAATAAACCTCAACCCCCTTGTTTTACTCAAATCCTTTGGCAACCCCCTAGATGCTACAGCATCCTTCCTGCAGCCCCAATCCATCCAGAAGCAAGACTGCTTCTCCTGGTAGACTGTCCCCCTACTTTAAGCAATCCTGTTCCTCTTATCCATAGTCAATGTAGATGCAATGTAAATAACTTATGCCTGTTTTTCTCAGGTTTTCATTATAAAAGTTCTCCGGATTCTTGGATTCAGCTGACATTTTTCCGAATGCTACTGATACCACACTTGTTATCAGCAACGAGTTCTGATTCCTCACATGTTGAAGTTGAACATTAGAGAAGTATACTGAGGCAAGCATATAAAGGAGGGTTTATTTAATAGGGGTAACAGACTTCTCCCAGGAGAGGGAAGGAGGCTATAGCTGGTATTCAGGTATCCCACAACGTGAGGCGTTCTGCCCTTTTTATAAGTCCTAGGCTTCCTTTGTTCGGCTCTCTTCCTCTTTCTCCTTCTTGCATATGTGACTAGGCCTAGAAAATGCTCCGTGGGATGGTCAAAAGGTGGGAAACAGGTGGGCTGAAGGAGGAAGGGCAGGATGGAGCAGCCCAAGACATGTTAATTAACAATAGCTCCCTGTAGAGAAGGGCAACTCCTGGGACAGGTTACCTTAGCAACAGGTGAGCTAGGGCAGGTTCTTGATAAAGTTGGAGGAAGGGCTCTAAAGGAATTAATATTTCAATTCCTCAGGGAACAGCCTCCGATTTGGGACTCACTCAAAATTGGCTTCCTTGATCCCACCTGACTCCATTTACCTAATCTACACTAATTCTGGCTCCACTACCTGGCCTAGCTGTGGGTGGCTGAGGGAGCTTGTCCCAGGATTGGTCCTTTCTTTTTGGCTAGCATCTGTAATGACTCAATAAAACCTTTTATTTCAGAGATCTCTCCTTCTTCAGAGTATTGTTTTAACAATGCTTAAGAAGATTCTGTTCTAGTAGGTTAGGGAGTGGAAGGAAAGGATACAATTTTATTAAAAAAAAAAAAAGTATTTGTTCACAGACTAATCACATTCTGGCCTGTGAAGCTGGTCTGCAAAGTCTGCTTGCTGGCTTGAACCAACTCAGTTCTTCATGAGACTGCACCAATAACACTTGCCACACCTATGAAGGAAAACAGGTGAGTCAGAGCTGAATGCATAATATACTGTTCTATCATTATTCTCAGAAACTGCAGGTATGGCTCTGAAATGTCCTTTTGTAAAAGAATTTTAGATTTATAAAGGAAATTTATAATATGCTTGTAAAGTACCAGTTGCTAGGGCTGATCTATTTAATTTTATTACCTAAGACCATCTGTACGGCAAGACCTTTTCACTAAGCGTTTCCTTCTCTCACCCTTCCTTCCATAACTTGCAGTCACTGCCACCCGTAAAGGCCCCAAGCCCCTATTCCTTTCCATAGCTCAGCGTGCTACGTAATCACCCCCATCCCCCCACTAAGAACACTGGTATTCACTGGTGTGTGTCTATGTCATATGCTGATTTGCATCTTTTTTTTTTTAAGTCTTGAAATTTGTATACACCTCCAGCGGCTGCCAGCGTGGACTTAAAATATACATCTGTTAATCTTGGTTTCTTTTTGGTGGCAGCGACACTTGGATACGCATTTGCCTAGTTTCCATTGCAGTCGGGAGGAATAACACATGAAATAGAAAAACAGCACAACTAAAAGAGTCTTCTCAGCGTCCCGCGCCAAACGGGGAGGGGAGCGGGCGCTGCGCCAACTAGCCCGAGCTGGAG